AATTGTTATATAAAGTACAACAACTTTCTTACTTGCTATAGAAGAGTTCAACAATTGCTATGAAAAGTACAATAATTTTCGTGTTTATCGTAGAAATTTAAGCAATTATTGTAAAACAATACAATAACTCGTTTAATTGCTGTAGAGAATTGTAGCAATTGCTATGAAAAGTACAACAATTTACTTATTTGTTATAGCATATTCAAATAAAATTACTACATATTCTAGATTTTCTTTTAAAATTAGTCAAAACTATCCTATTTATCATGGAATATGATTAATATAACTAATTAACAATCAATTTATCAATTTAAATTGATTACATGTGAAATTACTTAATTGATCGTCTGGTATCTCAAATAACTATCTTATTATACAAGATCACTATCTAATATAAATTTTATTTTTAAATTTAATCAACACTACTCTATTTATCATTAAATATGAGTGTTACAACCAATAAACAATCAATTACTCATTATAAATCGATAACATGTGAAATTGTAATGAAATTGATCGTCTGGTATCTCAAATAACTATCTCATTATACAAGGTCACTATCTAATATAAATTTTATTTTTAAATTAAATCAACACTACTTTATTTATCATTAAATATGAGTGTTACAACCAATAAACAATCAATTAGCCAATTAATTTGCTTACTTGTTAGATAAAATTTTAGCAATTGTTATATAAAGTACAACAACTTTCTTACTTGTTGTAGAAAAGTTCAGCAATTGCTATGAAAAGTACAATAATTTTCATGCTTGTAGAAATTTAAGCAATTGTTGTAAAACAATACAACAACTCATTTAATTGCTGTAGAGAATTGTAGCAATTGCTATGAAAAGTACAACAATTTGCTTAATTGTTGTAAAAAATACAACAACTTATTTAATTGTTGTAGAGAATTTCAACAATTGGATGAGTCAAATCCTCACCTTCAACTAGTTCACTAACATCACAGTTTTTTTTCCGATTAAAATATCAATTCATCAAATTTAAAATACCACATTCACTAATGTACAACAAAAGTGAATTAAAAGTGTAGCAAAATAGTGGTAAAAATGCATATCCACAAGCAGACCCTTCAATTCATCAATTTCAAAATACCATATTCACTAATGTACAACAAAAGTGAATTAAAAGTGTAGCAAAATAGTGGTAAAAATGCATATCCACAAGCAGCCCCGTCAATTCATCAATTTCAAAATACCATATTCACTAATGTACAACAAAAGTGAATTAAAAAGTGTAGCAAAATAGTGGTAAAAATGCATACCCACAAGTTGCCCTTCAATTCATCAATTTCAAAATATCATATTTACTAATGTACAACAAAAGTGAATTAAAAGTGTAGCAAAATAGTGGTAAAAATGCATTTTCACAAGCAGCCCATTCTTCATCACTCTTTCAACTCCTTTTTGAATTCGAATCAGCCCCTTCATCTGCAATATCAACCCCTTCATCTGTAAAATTAAAAAAATGAATTTCACATGTAAAAATGAAATATATATAACACAAGACAAATCTTAGAAAGATGATTAGAATATAATTTTACCTTTACTATCTCCGGACACCAATTCTTTTTCGATAATGGTCTCATTCACTTTTCCCTTTTTCTTTTTTCTAGCACTTGACAATGCCACCGAAATTTGCCTCTTTGTTCTTTTAACATAGTCGGGAGTATATGGATGAGAGATCTTTGATGATGGCCTAATACCTCTCTTAGACTTCATGGTGACGATAGCTTTCTCTAAAGACTCAATCTTAGCATTCATGGTGACGATAGTTTTCTCTAAAGACTCTACTCTGACATTCAATAAAGCTACCGTCTCCTTAGTGGATGGAGTTTCTTGAAGACAAGGAACATTCTCATCGATCGGAGAAGATGTTCCTACTCCAAAATCACCACTAATATCACCAAAGTCTCCTCCTCTTTCGAAATCAACACCATCAGTACATCTATTAACATTTGGAGTAAATTCTCCTCCTCCTCCATCACCAACACCACTAAAAACTCTCTCAACAATTGGAGAAGATGCTCCTCCACCTCCTACATCAAGATTATGCTCATCAATTATGATGTCTCTTTTTATAGCCACAACACCATTCAAATCCATCTCAAGCTTTTCAATCTTATCATACTTGGTTAATTTCTTAGGCACAAACGTAGTGAAAAATTCCATTTCCATTTCACTAGATGTAGGAATTATCCATGGATGCACAATCTACATGTAAAAATAATAATAATTAAAATGTGATAAAGCAACTGCTGCATTTAAATATTATTATATATCAGTTGTTCTAATTGTTCCAGCAATTATTGTAATAACTTCAACAATTGACAGCAACTAATTAAATAAATAAAACAATTGTTGAAAAGGCTACAACAAAAATAGAAAAGCAACAACAATTTCACTTTTACTAAAAATGTTTAAAGAATAATGTTTACCGAGTCCTCAGGGGGATCAAACAACTCATTAATGTTAACTGATTCGTTATTAGTCGCCAAAAGCCATCAAAAAATCCTCGGTGAAGACACTTGTTTCGAAAACACCTTATATTTCTTTTGGAGGAAAGGAACAACCTCAAATGCCCAACACTACATAACATAATCACAAAAAGAGATCAAAATATTGGAAGCACCCAAAAATAATGAAATAAATATATATATAAACTAAAATTAAATTAAATTAAATTAACCATAAAGGCCCATGGAAAGCCATAAAGATTGATAGTCTTCCCATCAATAGTCTTCACCGCTTTCAATAGATGCTTTATTGTAGTATCATAGCTAATACGACCCCATGGATAAGTAGAAAATGCTTTTCTATCGGCCGAGAGCAAAATCCACTTTTTTGGAATATTTGTATTCACATCTTTTCCACAAAGAAAACTATGAACAAAATAAAGTAAACACAATGATTTTTTTACATCTTTACTGAGATTTTTGGATTGGAGATGTTCAATCAACTCATTTCTCTTGCAACTCCTTCCCACAACCTCAAGAATTTCTTTTCGTCTCATTTTTGTCTTAGTTGACATATTTTCACCATCATACACTTCTTCATTATAGCAATTTAAGCCGGTAATGATAGCAAACTCCTTCATTTCAAAACAAATCGGCATGCCACTATAATTTATCCAAATTTCTTTTTTTCGATGGCTATAAATTTGACGGCGAAGAAGTTGGTAAACTAAACTCATTTGAAATCTTATACGATCTTCAAGTTGTAAGTAATTTCTGAAAATAGAAGATCGAAAGAACTTTACCAATTTTTGTTTTTCTAAATTTAGAAAACTTACGTAACTCCGACTTAACAGTTAAAGAACCTCTTAAGTTTGGATACCTATCAATCATTGACTCCAAATTGTAATTGCATACCTAACCGACTTCACAATGAAGTTATCGGGTGAAGGACTGAGTGGAGAAGACTCAACAATAGGAGATGTCTCATTTTCTGGAATGGCTATGTCATTCTGGTCCTCCTCAACTGCTCTATCATCTCTTTCTACATTTGTAGAAGAAACATCTATTTCATGTTCTCCTTCTTCTTCTATAGATTTTTTTCAAATATGTCAAATATGTGTTTTCTAGTTCTTCTTCTCTTTGTCTTTGTGTTCTTATTCGCCTTTCATACGTTTTAGTAGGAGTTGTTCGTTTTTTCCTTGGAGTCATGGATGCACAATCTATATATAAAAACAATAAAATCAAAATGTAATAATAAAAAAAGACAATTCATTATCATTTAGATAATTTTGAAAGTTAGTTTCAAAACCACATAAAGAAATAGGGTAAACAATTATAAATATATCATCAAATTTTGGCTAGATGCATGTTATTTGAAGTATATATGCAAATCATCTATATGGCATCTTGTTTGGGATTGAGGTATAATAATTATTGTTGTTGTATACAAAGCATACTATAAAATAAGGTAACAACAACATCAGGAAGTGACAAAACCATACTACACTTTTCCTCTTAAATCATGAACAAAACCATAGGCTTGAAAAAAATGAATATGTTACTAGTTACTATAATACATTCTGTGAAACACACCCCCAAGAGTTAACGAACATCATAATATTGGAATATAACAACTAATAGCAATGCTTAACTACCAATGATCAAACTAACTTAAGACTAAGAAAAATAAATGATCTCTAAGAACAACATTCTCCATAAGATGAGCAATAATTAAAGGTCCAAGAAAGACACCTCTAATGTCTCAAACATTTACCTCAAAAGCAACCAAATTCTTTTTTTCCTACAGAAAACAAGAACCTAAAACAAGGCAAAACATTAAAATGCAGACATTAAAGAGCCATCAATCACCAAAGATAAGAACAACCCCACATAGATAACAAAAAATAAAATAAAAGTAGGATCAATGAAAGCACACAAATCTTGTGTAAAAGACCCACATTTTTTCCCCCAAGAAAACCCTACCAAGCAAAATCGTTAAATCCACAAACTTTCATATGCTAAAAACAAAGAAGGCCTAATAAAACCCAATGAAATTTCAATCTTTACCATCTCAAAACCCTAACAATGAAAGAAAAGAAAAGAGTGTTACCTTGAGGTAGATGACGGCTATGACGAAGAAGACCAAGACGAAGGTATTGGAAGTCACCAACAATATTTTTGCAACAATGTCGTCTCTCTCTGCTACAAGCTGTTGCAAAGAAGAAAAACAAATACAATTGGAAATGGGCTTCTAGCTGTTGCAAGAAAGAAAAAGAAAGACAATTGGAATGGGTTTATTTGAATATTTTTAAAAGTTTAAAATTTTTAAATATTACACTTTAATCCCCAATTATCTTAATCACTAATTAAAAAAAGATTTGACTTGGTAAATTTCTTTTTGTCACCAATTTTAATTTTAAGACTTTTTTGTCACCTTCACCTCAATTAGCTCGAGACTGTTGCAATCTTAGAAGTAGGAAGCAATGATCCCAGAATATTCTTGGCATCAGAAGATGTCACAATCATTATCAATAATAATTTTAAGCTTTTCTTGCTCTCTTCAAATTGCTAAAAACTTGAGCTTTTATGGATTTGTTCCCACTTTGCCGCTTAAAATTTTCATCTTGAACTTCACCTGAATCTGATTTCAAGTAGTTAAAGGTAAGTACTTTCTATTTGAATTTAGTGATTCCAACTTTAATTGCTAATTCTTGGCTTCTTGTTGTATGTATTTGCTGATTAGTCAGGACGTTTAGTTGTTCTGATATTTGCTGTTGGTGTGCAAGTAAAGTCCCAAAAAAAACTGTGCAGGCTTTGCTAAAAAAGAGTATTTGGGCTAATTGAGCTAACTACACATAGATTACAAACTAGTAGCAGTCGTTTATATGTGTGGTCTGCATTCATTCTGCTCTATTTGGCTGGTGTTTGAACATGAATTTGGCGATATTTGAAGATGAAAAAAGTAGTATGTGAAGTTAAGTTGAGAAAGGGTGTTTGGATATTGAAGTTGTGTTTGGACATTCATTTCACTTAAAGAAAGGGATTTTTTTTTTTCAACTTTGAGAGAGTGGTAAGAAGCAGATTTTCAAACTTGAAAAACTTATTAATTTCAAGTTGGAGTAAAAAATTGACTACAGTGCATAACCATACAGTTTTTTGAAAAGAAAAAAAAGCTCAAAAAAATATGGCCAAACAGGTCCTTAAGCAAGTGCTAGGTGTGGGTGTCACAAGGAACTCAATATTCAAAGTTGACCTTGATTTCACTTTTGGTTATAAGAAAGACATGAATGGTGTTAATTGATACTTGTTTTATTCATGTTACTAGTTTCTGACAGCCATCTTATCTTCATTGATGGATGCTAAATTTGTCCTTGACTGTCTGTTCTAATCAAGACTGCTTGATTGGTTTCAGATTTTGCAGGGGATGCAATGGGAACTTTAATAGCTTTGCTTTCGATTGTGTTAACTCTGGTTAGCCTTCAAGGGGTAACATGCCATGGGGAGCAGCCTCTTTCTAGGATTGCGATTCATAATGTTGTTCTTGCCATTGACATTCATGCTTCTATTAAAGCTACTCCTTCAGTTCTCGGGGTTAATGTAAGCTCCAATATCTTTTTCTTACAGGCACATATATACCACTCAGGGAAAAACTAGTTGAAACACACAGAGCTAGAGAACAAATTGAATTTCCTGGTCTCTAATAAACAATGGCTTGCGAATGAGAAGGTACAAAGTCTCTCTCATTCATAGTTTAAATTTCCCTTCAAATTGCAGGGGCAAAATAAAGAATGGGTTTCTCTAGAGTATAGTGTTTCAAATCCCTCTGCCGATGATTGGATTGGGGTATTTTCTCCTGGCAATTTCAGGTAGAAATCATGCAGTTATCAGTTCAAACAAACTATTGCATGGTCTTGATAAATGATATTGTTGGCAATACGAAGTGCAGTTGATATTAAAAAGTTGGAGTGCATCCTTTTACTTCTTTATGGTACTAACCAGTATGATTTCCTACTAACTAAGTAATAGTTTTGATGTTTTCCCCACAGATTCTTAACTATCTCTTTGTTAGTATCTTATAACTAGAAGTTCCTAAATGCAGTCTCCTTTTTCCTAAATGAAAGGTTACCTAAACATTTGTGTAAAAAACTAAATTCCGGGTCCCTTTGGGAGTATAACTAGTGAAGTTTTAATAAATTCATGAGTATGCTGGCTTTAATTTGTTATTCATTACATAACCGTGCTATTTCTTTTGTTTAGTGCATCTAGTTGCTCCCCTGAAAATCCCAGAACATTTCCACCATTTCTGTGTACATCACCTATAAAGGTTGGTGTTTTGCCAATTTTAATTATATTTGGTTCCAGAAGTTTCTCTTGAATGAAGGGATAAAAAGTAACCATGATTGTCCCACTATTTGCATTTTTACCGTGCAGTATCAATATGCCAGTTACTCTAATCCTCACTACAAAGACACTGGGAAGGGATCACTGAAGCTTCAATTGACTAACCAGAGATCAGACTTTTCTTTTTCCTTGTTTTCTGGTGGACTCTTCAGTGTATGTTCATACCTTTCTCATCCTCGTCAATTCTGTGTTCTGTCCAGAGTATTTATACACTGAATGCAAGTTTATGTATGTCTTGTCATCACTACTTTGTACTTCATCTCAAGAATATCTAATGTGCACCTTAAATAATCTTAATCACTTACAAATTATTATCTGGACCGAAGTTTCTCTAATATATTGATTTTCTTCCCTTTGTAGACAAGTTAAACAATTTCCTGATCCATTTTCCTTTGAATTCAATTTTGCAAGCTCAAAGCTTTCAGGAATTTGGAACCTAAAAAGAGTAGTTTCTATCAAAACATGTTTGTTTTGTGGTTATGTTCATTGTATAGATCTCTTCAACTTTACAGAATGTTTCTTTCATCTGTCTGTCTGTTTCTGTATGTCGATCAGTTTTTATTATTCTTCCACTATACAGGCTTTTGCTTTGTTTTCATTTAACATATTCAGTAGGCGACTTTGTAGTGATCTCATCTTACATTAATTTGTCTCCTTATCCAACAGCCAAAGCTGGTGGCTGTATCAAACATAGTTGCCTTTGCAAATCCAAATGCACCAGTATATCCACGTTTAGCACAAGGAAAGACATGGAATGAAGTAAGTGTCTATTTTTCCTGCAAACAGAGGTCAGAGTAAGCTTTTAGCAGCTTGATATTTATTTTAACTTTCTGTGGAATTTGCTTTTGTGGACTAGGATGTAGTCACACAAATAAGTTGAGGAAATAACCTTCTTTAACTTTTAGATGGCTGTGACATGGACAAGTGGATATGGAATCAATGAAGCAGAGCCTTTCGTGGAATGGGGTCCAAAGGGAGGACAACAGGGACATAGTCCAGCAGGGACATTGACATTTGACCGTAGCAGCATGTGTGGTGCGCTAGAATCTTTTATATTTGATTATATTTTGGTTAAGGAGAAGAATTGGGTTAAGTCATGACTATCCACTTAATGGAGTTAATTGGAAAGAGCCAACTGATAAGTTATAAGAGCATCAGCATTAAAAATAATCATAAGGTAAAAACCTAGGTACGTTTTACTCGGGATGAAGCTTGGTGGTATGATGAACATATATTCAAGTTCCGCACTGTATCACCTTCTATGTTTATTAATACAGAAAATAATCTAGAACCATAAACTTGAAACATAAGATATTGCCCCACGAGAATCAGTGTACTCGTTTAGATAATGTTGCTTTTGGATGAGTTGACATGTCATGTTCTAACTATAGACTTTGAGTTCTATTTGTCTTTTGGTACTTACATCTAGGAAGCTAGCAGAATTTGGTTGGTATTCAGAGCTATCAAACATGTTGTCTAATTGTGTCAAATGTTATGGTGGATCAACAATAGTCTTTCTCATATATGATGCCACTTTCAGGTGCACCGGCTCGAACTGTTGGATGGCGTGATCCCGGATTCATCCACACCAGTTTCCTAAAAGAATTATGGCCGAACACAATGTATGTTTTTTACCCGTGTGTGCGAGAACTGCATACAGATTGCCATAGATGTCTTCATTCTTCCATAGAACATTGAGAACTGTTTTTGGGCATGTGTACTTCTTCCATTAGGGAAGCTTTGGTTTTCACTTAACATTCCTAAACTCAATATCAAGATGTTGTACTTCTAAAACAAAAGTTAACTTCATTATATTTATAGACAAGTTCAACCTAGTACCTTCTATAATACTGTGGAGTGTTTATTTTTTATTTTAGTAGGTAAAATTCTGGATCATGCTGCATCTTGGTCTTTGCAGGTATACCTACAAGCTTGGTCATAGATTCTTAAATGGCACGTATATGTGGAATCAGATGCGTCAATTTAAATCATCTCCTTATCCTGGTCAAAACTCTGTACAACGTGTTGTCATTTTTGGGGACATGGGAAAGGTTTGTAATCTCTTTAGATTCAGTTAGATTGCTAGAACTTTTATCGGTTTATTTATCTGGAAAAGCTCGCCATATGCTTTCGTTACTAATTTGTATTCCTTGGTTATGACTTGTGCATTATCATGAATTTTCGGTCTTTTTGTGCTGCTTCATGGTATTTTTATTTTTTAAAAATAAACTGCTTCCTGTTGTTTGATTAACAATTGTGAAGCTTTTGTTATCTTTCCATGTGGATTATCAAGTTCATGGGGGAGGGGAGCCAGGAAAAGCTTTTATCAATCGCAGAGTAGCATAAGAGTGCAAATACTAAACTATTTTGTGAATAAGCACCTTTCTGAGGAAGTAAGAGAATGAGGGGAAAGCAAAATGACAATATGTTGCACTGGTCAATTGGTTTGGCATTTATGGAAGCGGATAAGTTTGATCCAACTGGCTTTTAGCATTCAAGGTGGATAGACCAACTAGTTGAGACCAATACTTGTTATTTTTGTTGTTTATGATGGCACTACTTAAATGCACAAATGCGTATAAGCATGCATCTGCATGTAGCTCAAACGGAATTTGAAGGCTCCTAGCTATGCGTGCAATTGAAAATCTGGAAAGTTGCAGGGATGAACAAAAGAGCATGGTTTCCTGTGTTGCATGGAAATAAGGACCAAAGAGACGAGCGTCTTCTCTTAGGTTTCTTCCTCCTGCACTTGTCATTTTCAACTAGTTGAGTTGGTAGCCTTCCCTTCAAGTTTTACTAGAATTCGAATCACCTTTGTAAAAATTAGATCACTACAAGAGCTATTAAATTCTATGATTTTCCCAAGTAAATTTGACTTTTATCTCCACTGTTGCATATTCAACATCTGCAGATAATGCTAACTATACCAACTGATAAGCAAACTATTTTGAAGTACAAAGAAAATTGTGGTTAGATTGCATATGATGAATCATCTATTGATAGTAGTAAATCCTCAAAGACAACCTTATCTCAATCTGGAACATGCTTAATTTTGACCTAGTGTGATCCATGTCAAGTTGATGTGTTTTTCTTGTTTTTCCTACTTCCATATCCACTTGAATTTTCCAAATTTTGAAGTTATTTTAGCTCAACTTACTCAGTAATTTACCTAAAAAATGTTAGGCGTTAGCTCTGTCAGTCTAATGTGTGATAGTGATGCAAGTAAATGAGATGTCAATTTGGTAGTTCTTTATTCCTTGAAATAAATTGGAAACTACACAAGTATAATAGTTTATGTGAACAGTATTTTCCTAGTTGAAGGACCAACTTCAACTTTCATAATTTTTTTCTATTTTGTGTTTGCTTTCCTTTACAAAATCATAGATCAAACCGCTGGTTAAGCATTCTAAAATTTACTATCCTGATCAAGTTGTTGATCTTGTAATGATGTGGTTCCAAACTGCAGGATGAAGCTGATGGCTCCAATGAATATAATCAGTTCCAACCTGGCGCTCTTAACACTACCAATCAGCTTATTAATGATTTAGAGAACATTGACATTGTATTCCACATTGGTGATATCTGTTATGCCAACGGCTACATTTCACAGTGGGATCAGTTTACTTCTCAGATTGAGCCAATTGCTTCAACTATACCTTATATGCTTGCTAGGTATGCTGCTGTTCTACGGAGAACCTTGTTGAACATTTAAGAATCTTCTGCTTGCTTTGGGTAAATTCTTAACTTCATTCTGCAGTGGCAACCATGAGCGTGACTGGCCTGGTACAGGGTCATTTTATGGGAATATGGATTCAGGTGGAGAATGTGGTGTTTTAGTTCAGAATATGTTTTATGTTCCCACAGTAAACAGGGATAAGTTCTGGTATGGTGATTGTCCCTATCTGATTATTTCATTTTTATAGGTACTTTTTCCGTCTCTTGTGACGTATGATCATCACTCAACTATGAACCTCACTGTATCTGTAACTGCCACTGCCAATCATTTTTCTAATTATGCAATATAATCTTTTGGAGAATGTCATTTCATCTGCACCTCCACTAGTTATCCTTTTGTGTCCAACAATTCTTTGAGATACTAGTTCTTGTTTTCTTCTCTTAGGTATTCTACCGACTATGGTATGTTCCGGTTCTGCATAGCTGATACAGAACACGACTGGAGGCAGGGAACCGAGCAATATAACTTTATTGAACACTGTCTGGCATCTGTAGACAGACAAAAACAACCGTGGCTGATCTTCCTAGCTCATCGGGTACTGGGATATTCTTCAGATGCTTCATATGCTGATGAAGGATCTTTTGCAGAACCTATGGGTAGGGAAAGCCTTCAAAAACTCTGGCAGAAGTATAAAGTTGATATAGCTATATTCGGCCATGTTCATAACTATGAAAGGACGTGTCCCATTTACCAGGTATATTTGGAACTTCTGAATTTCATCTTCTATCGTATAGCAGACAGAAAATATAGTAAGATGTTTCCACACATCATATTAGGATTATTTCTGACTTGAAATGGTTCCAACATTCTTTTATTTGACTGATGCAAGGGTAACACTTCCCTGTTTACCGCAGAATATTTGTACAAACAACGAGAAACACTTGTATAAAGGTGCCTTGAATGGAACTATACACGTAGCTGCTGGAGGGGCTGGAGCAAGCCTTTCAGAATTTACCCCTATCCAAACTAAATGGAGTATCTTCAGGGATTATGACCATGGCTTTGTGAAGTTAACAGCATTTGATCATTCAAATCTGTTGTTCGAGTACAAAAAGAGCAGAGATGGTAAAGTCTACGACTCGTTCAGGATATCTCGAGATTATAGAGACATACTGGCCTGCACAGTTGACAGCTGCCCAAGCATGACCCTTGCATCTTGATCAATTTAGGTAAATGCATAATTCAGTTCAATTCTGACATGCTATACAGTCCAATATATTTGTAATCTTCAAATCTACGATCTCAAAAAGTAAAAAGGGTCAACACTTATTTCTGCAAATATGATATGAAACCATCTGGCTTCTGCTCATCATTTTTCATGATGCCTTAATGTTTGAATCATACGAAGACTCTGATAAATTTCAAATTCTGGTATACTGTATACGACAAAGCATTCCACATCAATGGCTGATAACAGCCTTGTTGTATTTTATCTTTTGAATGAATTCTCAGAGAAATTTTCATAGTTTACACCTTGGTCTTATATTTGAAGTATTGTCTTCTAGGGCTCAGATGATATTGTTAAACACTTCTCCTGATCAAGATAAGAAGAATATAAGAACTGTGGAATAATCTTTTTCATTTGTTTGCTTTTTCTATGGTAAATGTGAATAGCTAACCATTACTTCCAATGTTAACACAGTAACAAAAACTTGCAACTTTTCAAAGTGCGTAGAGCTAAGGTGTGTTCAGTATGAAAGAAAACGTTTTCTTCACAAAAGTTTTCCAAGAAAATAAGAACTGTGGAATAATCTTTTTCATTTGTTTGCTTTTTCTATGGTAAATGTGAATAGCTAACCATTACTTCCAATGTTAACACAGTAACAAAAACTTACAACTTGTCAAAGTGCGTAGAGCTAAGGTGTGTTCAGTATGAAAGAAAACGTTTTCTTCACAAAAGTTTTCCAAGAAAATAAGTAGATCTAAGTAGTGTGTGTGTGCAGTATTTTATCTTGTGAATTACATGCTCGTTGAAAGAACCTCTCGCAGAGTGACATGACAAGCTACCATTCTCAGTTTATTAAAGCAATCTTAGAAGTCATCTTCAACTTTCTTCTCATAACTCCAGCCACTGCACAACAGTTAAAACGTCTTTGCGTGATCAATGATAAATATAACAACGATATAAATAAGAATGTTTGCAGATCTAGAGCATTTCTCTATAACTAGTCTGTACAGCATTAGCTCATGGACTGTTGGAGCCTTAAATGTGCTTCTATTCAGTAAATAGAGTCCCCCCCCCCCCCCCCCCCGCTGTACCCAACCATTGTTTACCACAAATGCACTTAAAAGACACGACTACGCACTCAATATACCCTGGACCAACACGAAACAGAGACAAGTGACATACCACACCCACTATCAAAATTCGATGAATTGAAACAGGCTAGTCTTTTCATCCATTTACAGGGTGTCTACAAATCCTTGTAAAACGTGTGGTTCTGAGACACTACAAACAAGTAATATGACTGAACCCTAAACATACACTGGAGGAAAAAAAAAGGCGGAGCACTAAAAGCACCAGGGAATATTGAAGAGAGCAAGCCACATACAGTCGGCATCCAAAGCCTCAGGAGAACTAACAGCCTTAAGGAAGCTTCATCCTAAGTAGAAATAACCTTCAGAACGTCTTCCTGATTTAGACCTGATCAATGGGTTCTGTCCTGTCTTGCACAGCAACCCTCTCTGAAACATCAGCAAGTGATTTTAGGTTGCAATTGATCAATGCTTCAACAAAATAACATGTCTCGTCTTTGGTGTTCCCTTCGGGCACATCCACCACAAATGATTCAAGCACTAGTGTCCCAGGTCTTCCATCAATCACCTCCGGGTGGACAGATATGACTGAAGAGTAGTTCTGGAAAAGATCAAATAGAAAAGATAAGGGCAAAATACAGGGCTGAATATTTAATTGAATGTAGTGAAAACAATACTATAGGTCGGAAGCAAGCACAAAGTATCTCTCTCTCTTTGCAAGATCAAACTAACCTATCATGTTTAACCTGCTAAAACAAAAGCAGATCATTCATCTAGTGATTCTTCAAACGAATCCAAATGCATAAAAACTTGCATTCACAGGACATGACATCACAATCATACAGCAATCAATTTACAATATTCCGCATTCCAATTAAAAAAAGTGCATGAAAGTCATTAACCCAATCCAACTCACAAGTTCAGACACCTGCATTGTGCTACATAACGTACCATCCTCCCTTTATTAATTATTACCAATATGATTGCAATTTAAATTGATTTTTTCTTGGCCTTCTGGTAGACCTTTCAAAAAAGGTTATCATACTTTTAAAAGCACATGCTCGGCTCTCTACTAAGAAAAACCTCAAAAGCAAAATAACTATCTTTTTGTGCTGTACTGATCATTCAGCTTCATAATGCGCTATCATCAATTAAAAGTGTTGCTCTAGTACAGAAGAACCAAATCATTTTTGCCAAATCAAAGAACCAATAGAGTTGGCTCTAAGAAAGGATCTGCATCAGGAAGATACTCACTTATCTATCCCTCAAATGCCTAGCAATTGATCTATTGTCTTCAGATCTCATCACCAAGTCAAAGGGGGCATTAAAAGGTATAACCTGCCATGGTACAATCACAAAAAGCCCCCTGACGATGATTCAATGCACTAAAGCTTAATCCCGAAAAACATCAATCTATAAGAGAACAAATTAGTCTTTTAGATGAGAAACATGCTACATTTTTAGCCTGCCTAGAATATGCCTAGAATACCAGACTGCAATATCCATTATTTTGTCGACAAGTTGTAGTGTCTTTAAGGGGAAGAGGATTAGTAGTCTGCAATATCATTATCACAAAAGTATCAATATCAGATGATTCGACCTTCTCTATAAACATATATGACTAAGCACTTGAAAAATAGAACTGTAAACTAGAAATCAGAAGTATATTAAGTAATTCAAGTTAGAAGTTTATTTTGGTAGTCTAATTAGTTTGGAGGTAATCTTCTATCATAGAAATGATCATCCTCTGAGGAAAAAACCAAATTCAAGTGTATTTAATAACAACAAAATCTCAAAGTTGTTAAAAATCAGAAAAAACAATTGAAAAAAGAAAGGAACAACGAAACAAGAGAGAATTATTTAATACCCTAAGTCTGTGATCCCCACCAACAATCCTGACACTTAAGATGTGCTCTTCATCATCAAGAAGCTCCAATCTCTCGGTACTCGTTGTTGCAGGGAGGCCCGACTTGACATCAACTTCCCTAAGACTACCAATCGCAAGATCTCCTTGCACAATGCACCTGCTAATAAAGGGCTTATACTTTTGTGGCTGATCAAACCGCCTAACCAATGACCAAACCTGATAAAAAGAGGGAGAACCAACAACCATTACGACTGGCTAAACACAAAATATAAAATGCAAGTTTCGTTCATGTTACCAGAGATATTAATTTTGTCCTGCTTGCAGTAATATCAGTTATCCAGCACAAGGCAAACAGGCAATCAACGTGGAGAATAACTGCAGATGAGTCATTTGCCCCTTTTGCATAATCAATGAACATATCAATTGCTCATACATTTAGCCTTTCGTCTCTGTTCACTATAAACACTTGTAGTTCACCCCCTAGTTATGCAAGAATTTTATGGAAGGGATCCTTTCTTATACAACTAACCAAAAGAATAGTAAGAGTCACTTTCAACTTTCATGACTGGATAAACCAAACAGCTAAAAGATAATACAATCTTTGCTTGACCTAAAATAGGAAACAATTCAAATCTTATCCGTTTCATCCTCTATACAAATTTGACCAAGACACAAAACTAAGAAGGAACTCGATGATCTGACTACCAAAATCAAAGCCTAGTGACGTCGTATTTTTTCAGGAAAACAAAACTAAGAACACGGATCAACACAAATCAGGAACCATACAATCATCGCAAATATAACGAACCTAATGTTTAACTTCAAGATATTTAAAAGGATAATCATCAATCACACACAGCTGAAAATAAATCAATCGATCTACGTTAAAGAAAAATGCAGTAAACGCATTCAGAGAGAGAGAGAGGAGAGGAGAACGAACAAGATGAACAGGTGCTCGAATGTGCTTGACTAGAAATGAACTGCATTGATTCTCCTTAGGCTCATGTAGATGATGCTTCCTTATATACTCTTTCTCAACACCGCAGAATCCATTAGCGTTCATCATCGCTTTAGTTTCCTGCAAAACCTGTAATCAATGAACGGCGTGTATTTCTCTCGCCGGTGACTGGAGTATCACCCCGATGACGGAGCAAAGATCTCTCAGAGACAGATTAACGCGTATTGAACTCGCAAGTGGACGAGTCGGACTCGGTATGTTTGGGAAGTAGCCACCGCCATTACAAATAGATCTCCATTATCGATTTAGTACAGCTATTTAATTATCTCTCCTGGAATATTAAAACATTTTCGGCGTCTTCTTGCTCTTTGTCTTTTTCCGCTTTTACCCTTCATATTCTCCGTATCTACCCGATGAACCACTCTTTTTGTCCATTTCGGGAGTTGACACTTCTACAGTTCCCAAATTACCCCTCGATAAGTCTTTTATTTACGGGATAGGATTTCTCAGTTTCAGCTCCCTCTTATTGGAACCAATAAAATATCTGTAACAGCAAAATAACTGTTTTTGTCTTTATCCTTTGAAGCACAAATAAATGCTACAGTAATTTTATATTTTTCATAATTTTGAATTGAGAATTATTATTATCAATAAATCGAATAATCAAGTAAACAATAAAAAATTATTCGATTTGTACTCTCTCTCTCTTTTACACTATGAAAAATGTAATCAGATTTCTACTTAATTAAAATAAAATATATTTTTTGTGTATCTTGATTAATTCTACGAGATATCTATCACTTCCCACAATAACATGCATCAGATAACTCTGTTCACTAAGACTACAACAAATGAATAAAATCACCTAATATTCCTTGTCTTCATTGATTAAATCGTTTATCAAATTTATGTTTAATAGAATGATTGAGATAGAAATAATGTGATTCACATACCTATAAAAAGTACGTTTAAAGTTTTTTTTTTTTTAAATATCACAATAAAAAATCTATAACAACAGATAAATGTTTTTGTCTTTATTAACTGAACCATGATCCTTCCTTGCGTTTTTTTTTTTTCTAGGCTTATCTTTACTATTCCTTGAATGACTACAACTAAATAGCTTTTTTTCATTTTCAACTCTTGTCGTATTACTTTTTGAAAAAAATGAACATTAATTTTCTAATTTCCATAATTTAAAACTAATGCATATTTGTCAATAGA